CTCCTTCAAACAAATGAACTTTAACATTTCTATAAGTTGTGGAAGAGTTGCTTGTGGAAGCCATATTTTTTGTTGTTTTTGCTGCAGCTGCAGATTATACCACACTGTTGGTGGTATTCTAGAGGTGGTATGTGATAAAATATACTGTTGCAGAATTTAGAGTAAGAAAATATTTTTCGGTCACTTTTTTCACTAAACTTCCATTGGTGGAAGTTATACTTTGAAATACTCCGATTTTATTGACTTCACCACACACTCTTTTTTCTTGTTTTTTTTACTTACATACAATTTATCATTACAAAGCCTTTATATAGGCTTGAAGGAAACTGATAGAGAATACAATAAATTGGTAATTAAGATAAGGACTCTTTAGTTCTATCAATCTTAATAATACAACTCTATTATAAATTTAAGTAAAGACAATAATTATAATGTGATGATTCCCATTCTCTCATAATGTTTACATAGTGAAGGTACGACACATTAATTTTAACAGACTTGATTGCAAATTGTGTCGAATGTCTGTTAATGATTTGATGATTATAACCTTATAATCTTTCATTATTCATGAACATTTTTGTCTTCTGAAAGATATTTTGTTACAATATCAAAGCAATAATGTGAGGGAAAATCCACGAAAGAAAGCACTCATCAATGCTTCGTATTTGTCTGGTTGGGATATGAGTAATTATAGGTAAATGTCTTCCTTTTCTCTTCTTTTTTATAACTTGATTTCAAATAGGTCACTTGGAAGTATACATGCAGAGTGTTTGAACTTGATTAAGGGCGTTAGGTTACTTGATTGGAAATTAAGTTAAATGACAGTTCATCATTAGCAGCACCAAGTTTTAAGCTTATATTATTTATGACCTTTGTCTTTTGAAAAACATCTATTATTGCAGTAATGAAAGCAGTGTTGTGAAGGAAATTGTTGACGGTGTTTTGAAAAAACTAGACAAAAAATTCTTACCTATCCCAGATTTTCCAGTTGGATTAGAATCCCGAGCGGAACAGTTGGTTCGGTTTTTAAGACAGAATACAAAAGGAGTACGTTTAGTAGGGATTTGGGGAATGGGGGGCATTGGCAAAAGCACTATTGCCAAAGTCATCTACAATAATCTTTGTCATGAATTTGAAGATCGAAGTTTCCTTGCTAATATTAGAGAACTTTGGGAGAAAGATAAGGGCCAAAAGGATTTACAAGAACAACTTCTTTTAGATATTCTAACAAGAAAGATAAAGGTGCATAGTGTTGAGAGGGGAAAAGCTATTATCAATGAACGACTTTGCACGAAACGGGCACTTGTTGTACTTGATGACGTGAGTACTCTGAAGCAAATAAATGCACTATGTGGAAATCGAAATGGGATTGGTCCAGGAAGTATAATAATCATCACAACAAGAGATGTGCATCTACTTGACATCCTTGGAGTTGACTTTATTTATGAAGTGGAGGAATTGAATGCGCGCGAGTCCCTCGAGCTTTTCAGTTGGCATGCTTTTAAGGAGGCGCGTCCCACTGAAGGTTTCCTTAGCCTCTCAGGCGATGTAGTTTCCTATTGTGGTGGATTGCCACTAGCTCTTGAAGTCCTTGGATCTTACTTGTGCAAAAGGAGAAAACAAGACTGGCAGAGTGTATTATCAAAGCTAGAAAAGATACCCAATGATCAAATACATGAGAAACTAAAAATAAGCTTTGATGGTTTAGAGGATCATATGGAAAAGGATATATTTCTTGATGTATGTTGTTTCTTTATCGGTAAAGACAAAGCTTATGTTACAGAGATACTAAATGGTTGTGGATTTCATGCTGATATTGGAATAACTGTGCTGATAGAAAGAAGCCTCATGAAAGTTGGAAAGAATAATAAGCTTGGAATGCATACTTTGCTACGAGACATGGGAAGAGAAATTGTTCGTGAAAGTTCACCTGAAGAGCCTGAGAAACGTAGTCGATTGTGGTGTCATGAAGATGTACTTAATGTATTAACTGACCACACTGTAAGAATTTCTTAACACTACATTTGATTTTATTTTATCATCTTTCACAATCCTTAAAGATATAAAAAACTATGTTTGTTTTTGAAATGGTTTTTACTTTTCCCATAAATTGTATAAAAATATTGGGATTCATTATCTCACAGGTGTTTGTGTTGTCCTTGTTAAAGATGCAGTATAAAAAACAGCTTAGGCTTAGATGTTCCTATATATTTCTTTGAATTTTGGTTTTTTTGTCCATGTTAAAATTCTAATACAAATTTCCGTTCATGTGTCTTCATGTAGCAGCATCTCAAGTTTTTGGAAAAGTTTGTTCATGAGAATCATGTGATTTTATATATGATTGTATTTGTTGCTTCATGTAACAACTCAAGTTGTACTCGTTGCTTTTTGGTTACCAAACAACAAATTATGGTTTCCTTTTTATTTTATTTTTCTATGGTCTTTCTTTGTGTCGTAGGGAACAAAAGCCATTGAAGGATTGGTTATGAAGTTTCAAGGGACCAGTAGTGTTTGCTTCGATACTATTGCTTTTGAGAAAATGAAGAGATTGAGATTGTTGCAACTTCATCATGTACAACTCATTGGAGATTATGAGTGTTTTCCGAAGCACCTAAAGTGGATTTCATGGCAAGGATTTCCTTTAAAATACACCCCAGAAAACCTTTATCAGAAAAATCTAATTGCTATGGACTTAAAACACAGTAATCTTAAACAAGTTTGGAAGAAGCCTCAGGTATATATTACCAGAGATTTTCCTTTTAAAATCAATGGTTAATGGAAATTGTTATTTTTGCCATTGTTCCACTTTTCATCTTATCCTGTAATATTTATTTCAAAATTATTTTCTTGTAGTTGATGGAGGGACTGAAGATCCTAAATCTCAGTCATTCTAAGTACTTAAAAAGTACCCCTGACTTTTCAAAATTACCGAACCTAGAAAAGCTCATTATGAAAGATTGTCAAAGTTTGTCCATGGTGCACTCGTCTATTGGAGATCTCAAGAATCTTCTTCTGATAAATTTGAAGGATTGTACAAGCCTAAGCAATCTCCCAAGAGAGATATATCAATTGTCATCAGTGAAAACTCTCATCCTTTCCGGTTGTTCAAAGATTGACAAGTTGGAAGAAGACATGGGGCAAATGGAATCCTTGACAACACTGATTGCGAAAGATACATCTGTAAAAGAAGTTCCCATTTCAATACTAAGATTAAAAAGTATCGGATATATATCCCTATGTGGATATGAAGGATTATCGCGTGATGTTTTTCCATCTCTTATTAGGTCTTGGATGTCACCAACAATGAATTCCTTATCACACATTCCTCCTTTTGATGGTATCCCAATGTCTCTTGTTTCCCTGAACATAGAAACTAATAATTTGGATTTGGTCTATCAATCAGAGTTACTTAGCAGCTGTTCAAAACTAAGAAGTGTTTCGGTACAATGTGACTCGAAGATTCAACTGAAACAAGAATTCAGAAGACTTCTCGATTCTCTATATGGTGCAGGTCTTACTGAACTGAGAACATCACATGCATCACAAATTTCCAAGCTTTCCTTGAGATCTCTTTTGATTCGAATCGGAAGTTGCCACATTGTCATCGATACTCTTGAGAAGAGCTTATCACAGGTTCCTTCTTTATCCTCCCACCTTTACTATCCGTTATAGTATTTTCTTCTTTTTCTACTTGACATTGTTGTTTAACTTTAACTTCTATATCTATTTATTAGTACATTTTTTTATTCTATCAGTTTCCTTGTATATAATTTTCTTTTTAGTACACTATTATGACAAAATAAACAGAAGAAAATGTCCATTTGCATAGCATAATTAGAATTACATAAATAACTAAGCATATGTTCGTGATACAGAGATTGGCTACCAATTGTAATGATTCATTCCTTCCGGGTGACAATTATCCTTCTTGGTTAGCCTATAGTGGTGAAGGACCTTCGGTACACTTTCAAGTTCCCGAGGATGCTGATTGTGGGATGAAGGGAATAACTTTATGTGTTCTTTATTCATCAACACCTGAAAACATGGCAATTGAATCTTTCACTAATGTCTTGATTATTAATTACACAAAATTTACTATCCATATTTACAAAGGAGACACAGTAATGTCATTTAATGATGAAGATTGGCAAAGTGTGGTATCAAATTTAGGAGTTGGTGACAATGTGGAGATTTTTGTAGCTATTGGACAAGGATGGATTGTTAGAAAGACTGCTGTCTATCTAATATATGATCAGTCAAATGCTATGGAAACTGAGACATCTAGTGAAGCAGGAATTGAGCCGTTACATGAAGTGGAAGTGCAACCATCACCTAATGTGAAGAAAGAGCCATCATCACCTAATGTGGAGACTGAGCCATCATCACATAATGTGAAGACTGAGCCATCAGCTGAAGAGGAAGTACAACCACCACTCGATGTGAAAATGGAACCATCGCGTGTGGTAAAAAACAAACCATTACCGAAGAAAAATAGAAAGTACTTTACACGACTTATAAAGAGAGTGAGAGAATATTTATGCTTGAACCAGAATTGAGATATCAGTAATTTTTTTATTGTGCAAGCCTGTTGTCCTAATATGGAACTCTCTTGAGACCTCAACAATTCGATCACATTCGGTAGATAATTCATAACTATAACTAGTCATTTGTTTAAGAATCTTAGTGGTAAAATGTATTGGTTAAGCATTGAGAATTAAGAAGAGAAAGTATACATTGTTTTCAAGTACCATTGAGCTAAAAATTATTCCTAAGTAGTGCAGGCCATAGCATGAAATTTTGTCTCTATACTTGACCTTGCAACAAGAGATAATTCAGTTTTCCAACTAACTTTTTGTATCTATTAGGGTTACGATATGACTCACCCTAACTTTTAAGAGGAGTTTCTGAATGACATTAATTGAAACAAACAATAACTACATGAAGTCTCTTCTCTGTATATAAAATAGTACAATTACAACAACGAAATACGAACCTCTACATCAGTTCAAGCACAAACATTGTCTTATTCTCTTTGCAAGTCTTGTAAAGATATATTTATTTGGCTTCCGAGATGTTTCCATTTTCACATTCGATGATAGCTCCATTTTAGCATTAGGCGGTGGCTGCAACTGATCTTCTTGTGGTGGCTCCATTTCAATGTTAATTGATGGGTCAACTTCCGTAGTAACTAAATGATCGTATATTAGATAGGCAGCTGTCACCTTAACAATCAATCCACGCCCAAAAGCTACAAATATCTCTACATTGTTGCCGGGCTCTAGATTTGATGTTAAACCCTTCCAATCTTCATCATTAAAAGACATTATCGTGTCTCGCTTGTATATCTTTATGGTGCACTTTGTGTAATTAATAACCAAGACACTAGCAAGACATTCAGATACCATGTTTTCAGATGGTGATGAATAAACAACACATAAGATTATCCCTTTCATGCTACCATCACTATCCTCAGGAACTCGAAAAAGTACAGAAGTTCCTTCACCTTTATAGGCTAACCAAGAAGGATAGTTGTCACCCGGAAGGAAAAAGTTACTGGAATCATTGGTTGTCAATCCCTGAATCACGAGCATACGATCAGTTAACTATGTAATTAACTAATTGTTATACTATTAAAATACAAAATCACTTACCAAAAGAAAACAAAACAAAACTTATATGCTGACAGTTTCAATATTCAATAGTTGTATATAAATATTGTCTAGCAACCTAGTTATTGTGAGATTGTGAGTTATATATATATATATATATATATATATATATATGTGTGTGTGTGTGTGTGTGTGTGTGTGTGTGTGTGTATTTGATAATCAGACTGTAAGTGAGGAGAATCATAGAAGAAAAACAACCTGTGATATTCTCTGGCCAAGAGTGTCAATTACTGACTGGAAACTTCCCATTCCAATCAAAAGTGACCTAAAAGGAAGATTTGAGATTTGTGATCCATGAGATGTTGTTTTCAACTCGTCCACATCATATAGATCATCAACAAACTTTCTTAATTCTCGAGATAGTTGAATCTCTGACTGACATTGAACCCAAACACTTCTAAGTTTTGACAAGCTGGCCAGCATTGATGATTGATAACCCATATTATTATTCTTTACATCCAAGGAAACTAAAGACAATGAAATGCCTCTTAATGGAGAAGTACGAGGTAGGGAATTTACAGTTGATGACATCCAAGACCAAATGAGAGAAGGAAATACATGAAGTGATAATCCTTCATATCCACACAGGGATATATATCCAATGCTTTTCAATCTTAGTAATGAATAGGGAACTTGCTTTACCGATGTACCTTTTGCAATCAGCGCCGTCAAAGATTCCATCTGCACTATGTCTTCTTCCAACTTGTCAATCTTTGAACAACCAGAAAGTATGAGAGTTTTCAAAGTTTTCAATTGATAGATCTTCCTTGGGAGGTTTACTAGATCAGTACAGTCCTTCAAATTTATTAGAAGAATATTCTTGAGATCTCCGATGGACGGGTGTACCTCGGACAAACATGGACAATTCTTCATAATAAGCTTTTCTAGATTTGGCAATTTTGAAAAATCAGGGGTGCTTTTCAAGTATCTAGAATAACTGACATTCAGAATTTTTAGTTTATCCAACAACTACAAAAAGATAAATGTTCAAAAGAAAAATTAGAGAGGCGGGAACAAATGCTACTGTAATAAAACTATGAGTTTGAGAAGAAAATATTATACCTTGGCTTCCTTCCACACTTGTTTGATACTACTGTATTTTACATCAATAACAACTAGATTTCCCTGATAAAAGTCGTCGGGTAAATAGTTGAAGGTAAATCCTTGCCAGGAGACCCACCTTAGTTCTTTGGAAAGATACATATAACCTCCAGTGAGGACAGCATGATCAAGTTCTAAAAGTCTCAGTTTCCTCATACCCTTGAAAGAGTCCCTAGTTAAGATGACTCTATTGGTTCTTTGCACCTTCAAAACCAATCCCTCAACAGTTTCTGTTCCCTACATGTGAAGGAAAACAAAAGAAAAGAGTAAGGATAAACTGTTTTTGTTTGCTTGCTAGCAAATGATAAATAAACTTGCAGAGGTGCAGCTCAAGAACACTTGTAATGAGCATGACAGGGAAAACACACTCTAATCATGCATCAAAAATTTTTCAGCTATTATTTATAAGAGAAAAAGAATTCAGAAGCAAAGAGATCCTTTGATCTTGAAAAGATTTTGGAGGAAGATCAAAAGTATCAAAATTATTTTGAGAAAGTTCTTACCGTATTTTTTGTCAACACGTCATGTACATCCTCACGAAACCACAACCTACTTCGCTTGCCAGGCTCTTTTGCTGAACTTTCACGAACAATTTCTCTTCCCATGTCTCTTATTAAATCATGCATTCCAAGCTTGTTATTCTTTCCAATTTTTACAAGGCTCTTCTCTGCAAGGACAGTTATTCCAATACCGGCATAAAGTCCACATCCATTTAATATTTCTGTAACATCACCTCTGTCCTTGCCGATAAAGAAACAACATATGTCAAGAAATATATCCTTTTCCATATCATCCTTTAAACCATCATAACTTATTCTCAACTTTTCTTGCACTTGATCATTGGGAATTCTCTTTAGTTTTGACAGTACACTTATCCATTCTTCTTTTGTTCTCTCATATAAGGAAGAACCAAGGACTTCAAGAGCAACCGGTAATCCTCCACAATAAGCAACTACATTTCTTGAGAGCTCATGGAAGTCTTTGATTGGATTAGGTTTTCTAAAAGCATGCCAACAGAAAAGCTCAAGGGACTCATTTTCGTTCATTTCTTTCATTGTGCATACATAATCAACCTTAAATAAATTAAGTAGGTGTACATCTCTAGTTGTAACAATTAATACACTTCCCGGACAAAACAATTTAGGATTTCCACAGAGAGATTTTAATTGTTCGAATGTGGTCACATCATCTAGTACAATGAGTGCCTTTTTTGCTTGAAATCTTTTCTCAATCTTAGTTGTTCCTAATGCAATGCTATGTATTTTCTCCTTTGTGCTCAGGATATCTGAAAGTAGTTGTTGTTGCAAATGAATAATCCCTCTATTTTCCTTTTCACATACTTCTCTAACATTTTCAACAAAACATCTATCAACAAATTTATGGTGAATTTGATTGTAGATAGCTTTAGCTGTGGTTGTTTTACCGGATCCACCCATCCCCCATATCCCTATCACACAAACTTTCTTTAGTTTATTTTCAATAAAGTCATTCACTTCTTGCACGCGGGATTCCAATCCAACTGGAAATTCAGTAATAGACAAGACTGTACTGTCTAGTTTTGCCAAAACATCTTCAACAATGTGCTGCACTAGTTCACCTTCACTCCTTTGATGATCATAATTATAAAACACAAATAATGAGCACATATTGGGAAAGACTAAACTCTGCTTCCGCCATGCAAAACATCATGTTTTTTTTTGAAATTCTGATAAAAACCATTCTCAAATGAATTTTAATTTTGGGAGGTAAAAAGTGGTGTTTACACCGCTTATTGTGTGTCACTATGCGCATTTACTATGCTTTATTTCCTTGTTTTATTCTACTTTTATACATTTTGGTGTGTTTTTGCTATTTTCAGGTAATAAGGGAGTGTTATATCAAGCTGAAGCGAAAAATATTAAAAAACGCACAAAAAGGAAGTCCTCTCATTCAAAAGACCCAGGGCCATTATGGTTGGGCAATATCAGCTGACACAGGTCATGTTGGCCCAAAGAGTTGCACCCATTCATCAGACCAGGGAATAACACAGGCCGACTGTTTTCCCTGACACAGGTCGTGTTATTCCCAGACTTCCTCCTATTTGTCCAGAGAACAACACGGGCAGGCAATGTTTCATGACACTGCCTGTGTTCGTTCACTCAAGCGTTAATTTCAAATTTTTGATGTTTTGGACGTTTTGTGATCTTTGGTGCTGCCAAGCTGTTCCAATTCAAGTACTTAATGATCATTAGTATCATTTACACAAATTTAGGGCCATGAATGTAGTTAGTGGCTATAAAAGATCCTTGAAGCATTGTTAATCATAACCAAACTTTACGATTTCACATTCTAAGTTTACTTTTAACATTGAGTTTTTGTTCTAAGATTTTGATGATCAATTTTGTCGTAGCTTCTACTCTAGTGTAAGGGCACTCAAGGATCTTTGGAGCTTCGTTTTATATTTTAAGTTATTATTTTCATAAGGTTAATCCTCTCCATTTCTATCACCTTTAATTTATTTGTTAGAATTTACATGCTATGTCTATTTCTTATTTATTTGTTAGAATTTACATGCTATGTCTATTTCTTATTTATTTGCGATCAATATCGTCGTGAGTGAGTAATCTATTAGAAACAAGGATTCGTGAGACTTATCTCATGAGAAATTCTAGCTGAATTTCTCTTATACGGATAACGAGAAAAACAAGAATAATTTTTATTTTAGAATCCAGAAATTTAAATGTTGGTTGTGAAAGAAAAGGCAACCTAAATACTAATCATGTACTGAAAGGTAATGATTTGACATCCGAGAGTGGATTTCTAAATAGTTAAGTTGTAGTGCCACTGACAAGGCGTCTCACTCCTGGTTGAGAAAGTCACGTTCAAGGCATCCACGTGACAAGGTGTCTCGCTCTAGATTGAGAAACTTTTATAGTCGTGCCAAAAGATACGGGCTAGCGAAAGTAGATGAATCATTCATCTGATAGAGTACACACGCCGTGAAAGTAGGTGTTATACATTTTTATCTATTTTTTCTATAACTCTTCTGTTTTTCTCGTATTTGATTTTGGAAAGCCAATTGGTATGTCGAGATAGATTAACACCCATGTCCAGCTTCGTTATTCTGGTAATTTCATTTCTTTGCATTTTGAACTCCCGAATACTTCGACCGCTTTAGCTGCACATTGTTAGAATAAAAATCGGTACTAAAATATATCTCTTTGTGGTTTGATATCTTTTACTATTTCACATTGTTGTGCACTTGCGGCTTGCATCTGAAGGTGTATTCATCCATCCTCTAGACCGTTCATACTCAATATTCTCACCCAACAACCACCACTTCATCCTTGAGAAATGATGCTTCCTCCTTCAGATCTTTTAGGGAACTAAGGGTTTCTTGAAGCAATCTCTCTAAATGCTTCCCTTCCTTAACGCAGGCCAGAGCCTTCGAAGCCACCTCGTGGGTGAGGGACCTCAAACTATCTTGTTCCTTCACCATAATTGTCACCATCTCTTGACGCTTTTGTACTCTCCCTATTATAAAGTTTATCTTGGGCTGCAACTCACTGATCGTTTGGAGATGTTTTTTTGTTGGACTCTCTCCACTTGGAGGAATCTCAACATTTGAACCTCCAACATGTTCATGAAAAAGGAAGGATAATCATTGCAAATTAAATGATATTCACTAGGAAAATTCTAAGAGAAAGAAAGGCAACGCCCAGAAATCTCTACTGCATCAAAAAAAGGGTCACTCCACAATGAGGGTTAAGAAGCTCTCGTTAAGGGAACAGGTCCGCCATCTATCTTTACTCCTTTACTGGATATCCGGTGGCCTTCTATGGGAGAGCTTCACCACCACGAGATGTCTCGCATTGTCGCTTTCTCTAGCCACGGTTAAATCCTTAGGGAAGGGCATAGTCGTTGGTATTTATTTTTCTTGCATCCGAACCAAGCGCTATCTCTTGTCGTCGACCAAGATTCTAGACATGTCTTCTACAAAAATGTGGTGTTAAAATGTATAAAACTGTAAAGAATGGACCAGGCCAGAAATTTCATTTCATACCATAAATCTTAGAGTACGAGAGGTTATGAGCTAGAAGCATATTAAAATCTATATCACCTCTCGATAAACGCAGGAAAGGGCGCTGAAGTCCATCCCTTTGATGAGCTGAGGATCTTTTGTCCATGATAGAGGAAAGCGAAAGACACTTGTCATCCAGTGATCACCATAGAGACATCATCTTGCCCTCTGACCCACAAGAATTCATTTTCTAATCCTCATAAGGCTCTTGGTACAGTTCCAACAAGCGCCTACTTGATAAAGAGCAAAGTTATTCAACCACAGATGGGGAGGATTTCTACGCCAAAAAAGGAAGGAATATCCTGACAGTATAAGAGACGTCTAGATTACAACAAATGATCTCAAAATTCCTGAGAATGTTTCCCACGTTGAGCGTGATCTAGGAAGGGGGCATTAACGCTCACCAGGAAGTTTGCCTCAAAAGGCGTAAAAGGAATCCAAACCCTCAACTTATGAATGATAGGAAGATGCAAGTAAAAATAAAGAGCATCATGGTTCCCATGTTGGCTCTTTCTGTTTCTGAACAGGGCCCTAGGATTACGTCTTCTTCGTGTCCTGTACTTGAAAATACAATATCCTGACAGAACCTCGCAATCATGTCAGATTTTGAATATAGAGAAGCAATGTCTCGAACATGAAGATATTTTGCTTTTTTACTAGGCTTTAGTTTCTGAAGAGAGGGAAGAGGCTAAAAACAACAATGTTTAGATCCCTGAGAGAATGACAAACCATGTTATCTCCTTTTCTCCTATTTGAACTTAAAGAAAAACTCATGTGACTATTTTTTCCGATTAAATAAAATGAAAGTTCTAAGGGTGTGTTTGGTTCGGGGTAGATGGAGGGGAGGGGAGGGGAGGGGAGGGGAAATTTTTAATTAAATATGTTTGGTTCAAATTTTAGGAGGGGAGGGGAGGGGAGGGGAGGGGAGCAAAATCCCTCCAAAACACACTTTTTGGTTCCCTCCGAATTGGGGGGATTTGGAGGGGAGGGGAGGGAATATGAGTTTTGATATTTAAAAATTATTATATTTACTAAAATATCCTCAGTTTAATTTTATTATTTCAAAACTATTTGTTATCTTTTATGTTAGTGTTTTTTCTCGATTGTTTTCATCAATTTATTATAATTGTTCTTCACCTTCAAATTATTTTATAATTTTTATAATTAATATAAATCATAATCATTGTCTTTTTTTTATAAAAAAAAATTATGTTTCGTTATATTCGTTTTTTTCTTTTAATTTTGTTATGTACTCTATCATATTTTCTTTTATATCAAATTGTAAACCATATCATTTTATTTATTTTTGTTTATTCATTTTATTAAATATTTTGAACCATTAATATTTAGTAATAAGTTATTTTATATATTTGTTTTGTTATATGATTCATCACAATTTAAACGATGTTATTGGCATATAGTTTAATTTATGTTGGAAAGTTATAAGTCGAATCGATTGTACTCAATTTTTTAACTTTAGTGACAAATAAATATTTTTTTAATCACTCAATATTAGAAATTTTATTACCAAGAAAAATACGCACGAATTTTTCACATTTTAATATCATATGACTTATATAAGATCATAAGGATAAAAATGTAAATTATTAATAAAACCCCTCCCCTCCCCTTCTGAACCAAACACATTTTTAATTAAAATCCCTCCCCTCCCCTCCCCTCCTCTCTTTTGAACCAAACACTTATTTGATTAAAAAATTCCTTCACCTCCCCTCCCCTCCCCTCCCCTTCATTAAAATCCCTCCCCTCCCCTCCCCCTCATTTGAACCAAACAGACCCTAAGGGTGTGTTTGGTTCGGGGTAGATGGAGGGGAGGGGAGGGGAGGGGAGGGGAAATTTTTAATTAAATATGTTTGGTTCAAATTTTAGGAGGGGAGAGGAGGGGAGGGGAGGGGAGCAAAACCCCTCCAAAACACATTTTTTGGTTCCCTCCGAATTGGGGGGATTTGGAGGGGAGGGGAGGGAATATGAGTTTTAGTATTTAAAATTTATTATATTTACTAAAATATCCCCAGTTTAATTTTATTATTTCAAAACTATTTGTTATCTTTTGTGTTACTGTTTTTTCTCGATTGTTTTCATCAACTTATTATAATTGTTCTCCACCTTCAAATTATTTTATAATTTTTATAATTAATATAAATCATAATGATTGTTTTTTTTTTTATAAAAAAATTATGTTTCGTTATATTCGTTTTTTTCTTTTAATTTTGTTCTGTACTCTATCATATTTTCTTTTATATCAAATTGTAAACCATATCATTTTATTTATTTTTGTTTATTCATTTTATTAAATATTTTGAACCATTAATATTTAGTAATATGTTATTTTATATATTTGTTTTGTTATATGATTCATCATAATTTAAACGATGTTATTGACATATAGTTTAATTTATGTTGGAAAGTTATAAGTCGAATCAATTATACTCAATTTTTTAACTTTATGTGACAAATAAATATTTTTTTAATCACTCAATATTAAAAATTTTATTACCAACAAAAATACGCACGAATTTTTCACATTTTAATATCGTATGACTTATATAAGATCATAAGGATAAAAAT